GTCTTTCTCCTCACTGCTGGTCACAATGAATTCCCCACCCAGTCTGTAGATTTCCCTGGGATTGCCATGACAGGGCACTTTTTTCTTCCCCCAGTTAAGATCTGAAGCGCACTTTTGAAGCAAGTCTCCAGCTCAACCCCACTTACTGCACTTCCATTCACATCATGTGACTGCCCCACACAGCTTGGTGTCATCAGTGAACTTGCTGAGGGTGCTCTCAATCCCACTGTCCATGTCGCTGACAAAGATGTTGGACAGTATCGGCCCCAGCACTGACCCCTGAGGGACACCACTCATCACTGACCTCCACATGGACAATGAGCCACTGACCACAACTCTCTGTGTGTGACCGTCCAGCCAGTTCTTTATCTGTTAGTCACAGTGTTGCACATACAAACTCTGGTAGTGTTGTTACAGCAGGTTCTCCTGGCCACCCATATAGAATCAGCCCTTTCTCTCTCACCCTTTTCCTAGCCATGGGTTGGAGCTTTAGGTTTAAGACAACCTATAACAGGTCTGCCCAAAGCAGAGCAAAAAAACGGTGGGGGCAGGGGGAGGGGGAGAAGGAGCAGCATCTGCACCGATCAATACATGCCCCGAGGCTACCAGCCTCATTAGCAGGAAAAAACAACAGGGAGGAGGAGCAAGGTTATGGAGTTACAACGGGAAAAACATGGGGAGTGAACAGGGAACATGCTGTTCCAGAGAGGGCGCTCAGAGGAGGATGCTCATCTGGAGCCTTTTTATTGCTTCCCTTACAAGCTCCAGGGAGAGCCTTCCCTTTCACCTCCTTTCTTTCCTTTGGTTTTTCCTTTTTCCCAAAAGTAACTTTAATGCTTAGAGCTGATGTGTGCCATCAACTACAGATCCTGCTAATAAATCTGTGTGTGTGTGAACCTGTCCTTCGTGTAACATTTTTTTTTATAAGTGCTTAAATATTCCTTATTATCCTCAAGGCATGCAAAGGCCTCCTAGCAGTCAATGTCCAAGAGTTTAGGGCATGCTGAATACCTGTGATGCTTTAGCTTTTTGCTTTTTTTTTCATTCTCTAGGGAGTGTCTTCCATGTTTCAATTGGAACATTTTTCATAATTGCTGCTATTTAGCACGTTTATTTTGTCAAATCATGGGATGTCTTTATAGCCATATAATAAACCCTAGAGAACAACTTCTCTGACTGTTGCCATCTGCACTGATCACAAGAGTAGCTTAGAAAATACTGACAGTCTTTATAGTAATAGGATACATATGGTGGCACACAATTATGTGTGGCTGCATTCAATTAGTGTTGTACAATTATGCAGTTTTATTGCTTAGTTAAAACAGTGAAAGCACTACATAGTGGGCAATTTGCACTAATCCCCATTTCTTTAATTGCCCTTCAGTATTTAAATGCAGTGGAACATATATAGCGTTTGTTCTGAGTAACATGAGCATTAAATTATCTTTCCCATTCCTTGACTGGCAAGTAACATACCACAGTTTCACAAAGGGCTTCTTTTTATATGGAGTTATAACAGGGTGAGGAAAAGTTACTTTCTTCAGTTACCAAAGTAAAGTGAGCTAGTTTTCCAAGGAAAGTAATTCCTAGAAATAGATGAGGCAGAATAGTAGAAAATACACAGTACCAAACCTTCTGCATTGGTAAATATTGCCAAACAAACCTCTTCTGTAATTAATTGCTAGTATAGATGAGTCATACAAGGTGTGGTCTGTTGAAGGAAGGAATTTAGGAATTATTGCTAGGTTAGCACAACTCAGAGAGGGCTTTGTAAAAGATAACTGCATGAAATAGAATATGAAATACTAATTAGGCTGGATTCAGGTCTTGATGTCTAAGTGCACATTTTACATTTTTCAGCAAGTGAATATTTAAAGCCCTACTCTCTAGACTTTAACTAAAACTGTTGTTGAAATTAGATTTATTACTGCCATTTCAGAGAGCACTTTCTTTAGTTTCAGGAACCAGATGTAGTTAACAAACTGTGTTTTTAATAAAACCATAATTGCTTTTTTTTTCCCCCAGTGCTTTTCTATAAGCATATCTTTTTTTTTTCTGGCTTAGTAGAAGAGAAATGTGAATCCATTTTAAACTGTTGGTCCTCTTAAAGATCCAGTTGAATTTTTAAAAATAACATAAGGGAAGAGAAGAATTTTGTGTATTCTTAATGTCTTCTTGTGGCTGTATACCTAGTAAGCAGAGATTCAGGACAGAAAGGGATTTTTTCTCTAGATATGACTAGCATTAACAAAGGAGAAACAGGGGGATGGGGACTGCATAATATAACTAATTATTATGAACTAAATGTGATTTTCTATGTAGAAGTAGCTGGTCAAGATATGTATTAAGGATAATTTTGGGTTTGACTGGGAAGTATGCTATCTTCTATTTTTGCATAGTTTTGCTGCTAATTGTTGTCAGGATGTCACTGTTGGTTAGCCAGACTGCATGAAGCTTTGGTTTGGGTTGCATAATATTAAAATGATGCATATATCCTATATGAAGGCCTCCTGTAGACTGTTTCCATTTTTTAAGGTGCTGTTGTAAAAAAATGTTTTAAAATGGGAAGCAAGAACTCAAACCAACAGCTGGATTAAAGAAAGATTCACAGTCTAGTGTTTAATTTAAATACATTTTAATATTTTTTATTAAAAACATTTTTTTTTTGTAAGTTCTCAGTGTTTGCAGGTTTGGGGCTGTTCTTTTACTCTGAGGCAACTTTCAAAATTGTGTATTTTTTACTGATGTTTCTGTCTTTTTTTTCTTGTGACTGTATCTTAATCTCCCTTTGCACCTATAAAAACCCATGAAAGATCACACTGTTGCTGTGAAGACCATGTTTTAAGAGAGGATTTTCATGTATACCCATTAGCAGCCCTAACTGCTTATGTTCTGCTGATCATGATGGTAACATGCCAGTAAGACACTGATTGGTGTTTAACAGTCATCCAAGAAGAGGACTGTATTTCTAGGTGAAACAGTCCAAACAGGTTTGTGTCTTGTGACTTCAACACACAGAGAAGAATCTGGAACTGCTATCAGTGCAGTCACTTTCGTATTATCTAAGTCATTGCAATTCCTGTGCAAAACCTTTAGCTCTCTGCAAGTAAAGTGAATAAACTCAAACCCCTAAACTGTAAACTGGCTCTTGGTGGGGAGTTAACCTAGGAAAGTCACTGTTGGAAGGTCACACCTTTGCTTCTGGGCTTTAGTGTCCACAAGTGGTATGTCGTTTGTTGGCCAGGTAGTGAGATAAGTCTTTCCCAAACACCCTGAGTGCATTCAAGGGAAGTTGTCCAAATT